CAGGAAAGGACTAAAATATGACGTTTTATTACTTCTTATTATCCATGCATCCATGGGTTCAGCAAGAATTTCAGGGATGAGAATGAGTGAGCAGAGGGTAGACAAGGCTTGGGCCAAAGAAGCCTATTCTCAGGCCCACGTTCAAAAGGTAACAGCCGAATTGCAGTGCGAGAGAGTGTGAGTGAACTTGGGCCTGGGCTGGCTTCCTAATCCTTCTACAACTGGGTGCCTTAACTCAGAGACTGGGACTTTCAGGTCAAATGTCTTTAAATGGGAAGGTATGGGTACAAAGAAATGTTTTTAATACATTAAATCATCTTAAAAAGAAAATATTCCACATTTAATTTCTGAATGGAGCATAACAAAGAAAAATGTTCAGACTAAGGCGAAAGGGGCTTTAATAGGATCATATTACTTCCTCAATAGTAAGGTTGCATAGATACCAAAATACAGTATGTAATCAAAGAAGTTATAGAATCTAATCCTAGAGGTTTTTATAAAATCCAAGGTAGAAATGAAGGCCTCCCAGAGAAAGCAATACAGGCAGAGCAAGCCCTTTAGCTTCTTATTGGGTCTATGTGATCTCTTTTAAAAACAATATGTCCTTATAGAGAAGCATGCATTTACAGCTAACTGATTTTCAACAAAGGTGCTAAGAACACACATTGTAGCAAGGACAATCTTCAAAAACTGGTGCTGGGAAAACTGGGTATCTATATGCAGAAGAATGAAAGTAGACAACTATCTCTCACTAGTTACAAAAATCAACTCTAAATGAATTAAATGCTTAAATATAAAGTTGGGTGTGATGGTATGCACCTGTAATCACAGCTACTTGGGAAGCAGGGATCAGGAGGATCATGGTTCAAGGCCAGCCTGAATCAAAAGTTAGAGATCCTATCTGAACAAATGATCTGGGTGTACAGGTACATTTCTGTAATTTCAGCTATACCAGAGACATAGGTAGGAGGGTCATGGTCCAAGGTCAACACCAGGCAAAAAAATGAGACCCTCTCTGAAAAATAAGTAAATCAAAAAAAGGGCTGGGTGCTGGCTCAAGTGATAGAGCACCTGCCAAACAGGTGAATACAAAATTCCAATATGGCCAAAAAAAAAAAAAAAAAACCTTAAAATATGAAACTAGAAGAAGAAAACATAGGGGCTGGGGATGTTGCTCAGTGGAACAGCACTTATGCAGAAGAAATGCCTCAGGATATTAGAATGGGCAAAGCCCTGAAAGCACAGGAAACAAAAACAAAAACTGACAAGTGGGATTACATTAAACTAAAAAGCTTCTGCACAGCAAAGGAAGTAATCAAGAGTGTAGAGATAAGCTACAAAACGGAAGAAAATCTTTGCAGTCTATACATATAACAAGGAATTAATACACAGAATATATATGGAACTTTAAAAACTCAATAGCTAAAAAACAAATAACCTGATTAAAAAATAAGCAATAGATCTAAATAGATATTTCTTAAAAGAGGACAAGTGGCCACAGATATATGAAAATTACTCAACACCACTAATCATCAAACTCACAGTGAGAATTCACCTCACCCCGTAAGAGTGGCTATCCTCACAAAGACAAAAGCCAGCAAGTACAGATCAGAAGCATGTCTGAACCTGATGATATTTTCTCAGCATCTGGGTCCAGCTACACCTGAAGGCCTTTGATCATCAGTTTTAGGAGTCAATGCTTTCTTTTTATTTCAATCAGCCAGCGATTTACAAGTGAAAGAACCTTAAGGGGAACAGGCTTAGCAAAGATTGAGGTGGATGGAACAGTAAGCAAGGGCTGTCATAGGGCAAAAGTAAGAGCAGTGCCTGTGTAGTCAGGATGAGGAAGAGGAGACCCAGCTGCATAAGGCCATAAAGTGACATTTGGGTAAATACTACAAGAAACAGAAAAATTCCCTTTGAAAATATCATTAATGTTCTGGTCAATGTATGACCAATCATACCCTGCCACTGACATGCCACACTTTCCTCAGGATGACATGAAGTGTTTCAGTGGTGGGAATCCTACCAAACTATCTCAAGAGACATTCTGCCGTGAAACTAACTTTTTGCAAACTTCCTCTAGTCCATTACATCTATAGTTTTAAAGTTTAATGCAACATGACATTTACCATACCAAATAGTTATCAAGATGTGGAACAAGAAATAAGTCTAAATTCTTATACAGAAATTCCCATCTTATTGATCACCATGAGTGCTGGGTAAAAGACCAGCCCTTCCTCATGCTGTCACCTCCAGACATGGTGATGCTTTAGTAGCTGTAATCATTTCATCCACTTTGCAGAAGAATAATAAAGGGCTGTCCCTTACTCCCTTTGTACAGTCACACTGACATGGAGCAACTGAGTAACCCATTAACAGAGAATCCCCCGCTTTGTTCAAATTATAAACATCACTGAGCATCTCTCCTGGGAATTCACAGAACAGGCAAGTGTGGGTGAGCTGGGTTGGCTGTTAGCAAGATAAACCCCGCCTGCTTGATGCTTTATTTTAGAAAAGACACCACAAGTAGTGATTACAGTTCACTGGGGTTTTGCACTGATCATCAAAATGCTGACAGTTATTTAAATCACTCACTGGGTGGAATAATCACCCTGAGAGGGCAGAACTTATTTTACAAAATGGAACTGAGCACATGAGACAGAGTTAACGGGTGTGGTAGAAGAGATCTTTGTCAGAATAACAGAGATGATTAAAGACATGAATTAGACATCATCTCTGCTGGGTACTCTTAGTGACACCAACATAACAGCTAAATTGCACAATTACAAAGTTAAGCATGACTCGAAGAGCATCTTTCTCCTTTCTAAAACAGTTGATGCCAGCGAGGCTGCCTGAATCACTCAGTGGCCTGCTATGGAGGCTACAAACTATCCTGTCGTGTGCAGCCTTGTGAGAATGGACAGAATACAAATTTGGAATGCCACGCCATTTGAAATGAGAGTCTGTGTTATTAAATATCAGACATTGGTGGCCCACCAAGTGAAAGGACCCCAGTAAACATTACTAAGACACCTACCTGTATTTGCAGGAGCCAAAGAAAAAAGAAGTACCTGGCCCCTTTTCAGAGTTGTTCATTTGCAATTAGTAAACAGAAAATTAGCTCTTTCTGACTTTTGTGGAGGGAGGGGGAATGGAGGGTCTGGTATGAAAGGATAATTTTGACAACTGCTTGGGATAGAACTGCTTGCTATTGTGGGATTATAAATTGGAAAGGCCTTTGCAAGCACACCTCCTTAAATTGAGTCTGTCTTTAATAGGTACATACATTTTCTATTCTTAGGGATTTCTGACAGTAAACATGCAATTTTATCACCAAATAAAAATAGTATTTTAAGTAAAATGTATAGGAATAAAAGTATTACAGTCAGGCATGGTGGCTCATGCCTGTAATTCCAGCTACTCCAGAGGTGGAGATTGGGAGAATTGTTTGAGATCAGCCCAGGCAAAAATTAGCAAGACCCTATCTCAACAAATAAGCTGTGTGTGGAGATATGTACCTGTAATACCAGTTGTAAGGGAGGCAAAGGTAGGAAAATAGTGGGCTGAGACCAGCCTGGGCAAAAATACAAGACCCTATCTGAAAAATAACTAAAACCAAAAAGGGGTAGGAGTGGGGCTCAAGTGGCAGAAGGCCCTGAGCTCCCTGAGCTCAAGCTCTAGTGCTGGCAAATATATATATGTATATATACATATATATATATATATATATATATATATATACACACACACACATATATATATACATAAATATATCTGTATATGTGTATATATATATTTATATATAAATAAAGTACTTAAAAACCCTTGGGAAAGGGATGTAATTAGCATGAATGAGCATTCACAGGACCTCTTGGACTCTGGCTAGGGGGCCTGTATTTCAGGGAACAATTTACCCCTGCGAATTTCATCAACATGCTGGAATCATGGTTAATTAAGTAATAACTTCTCAAAAGACAGTGATGATAAACAACTCACTCAAGTTCCCAGTCCAAATAACATAAACATTTCCTTGTTAACAATTATCTAGCAGCTAACCCCCGTATGAAATTCAGAGATGACTTTGCTGCTTTCTTCTTCCTACAGACATATTGCTCCTTGTTGTCCTGTTTCCATCTCTCCATTCCTACATCTAAAGCTGACTTTTCCTTTCTTCCTTCTTCACATCAGTTTTTCCTGGCCTCTATTTTAACTACATTGTACATACTCCCGAAGTAATGTTTTGAAAAAGTATTTATTTTATAGTTATTAAAATTTGTTTGCCCTAAAGTTTTCAAATTATTTTTCTCCAAATCACAGGTAGAAAAACAGGTTGCCCATTCCATTCTTTTTTCTTTTCTTTTTTTTTTGGTGGAACTGGGGTTTGCACTAAGGATTGTGCCTAAGCAGATGCTCTACCTTGAGGCACACTTCCAGTCCTCCCATTCCTATTTCATGCTCTACTTCTTACTTTTTTCCCTATAATTGTATCTTTCAGCCACCTCTTTTTCCAGAATAACTGTTGTCCTCATTACCTCTATTTTCTAGCACCATAATCACTTCCATTATTCTCTTTTCAGACTTTTTTATTGGCTCTATATCAAGTTAAAATGAGAATGTAGCTGTGCACTCAAGTCTGAGCTCTGAGACAGTTTCTACCCTTGAGAAGTTGTAAGGAGGGCAAAAAGTATTGCTTTCTGTTCTTGAGACACAGTGGTTCGATCTTACAGGATTTTATGTTTCTAGGGTTTAATATCAAGCCATGTTAACATAAGTCTTTCCTGGCTTCCCACATCTCATGTAGGGGAAATGGAGATTAGTTCCTGCCCCAGAATCATAGCATAGCAGAGATGCAACACAAACAGCATGCTTACCTGACTCTTCAGGAACTTTCAGACATGTTCCATATGGCTACAGGTGTGTGCACTCACCTTTCAAATGAAAACACTCAGACTTGCTCCTCAGTTGTCCCCCAAATCATTGTCCTACTAGAAACTTACTCTGGGATGTAGAAAGATTGGAGAAAGCTGACTTTGTTCGGCCTGCCAACCATTCCAGGCTTTCATGCATATTGGCCAAGGCTTTGAGGTCACTGACGTCACGGAGGATGTCTTGTGGAGGATTAGTTTATCACCCAGGTTCCCAATTAGAACCTCAGACTCCTTGCCAAAGGCTGCCCTGAAAAACAAATCAGTAACACATTTCAGTTGTAGCATGGCTAAGAAGGGGCAGGAAACACTTTTTAAGCATGCAGAGAGAATTCCAAGATGGTGGCTAGAGGGAGGAAGAAGAAAGCATGCCTCCTAAAGTAAAATCTTGGAGAGACACTGGAGATACACCTTACAGGAAAAACCACCCAGAAGAGGCAAAACTTTGACACCTCCACACCTCTAGCCTGCACATAGCATCTCCACTTCATGTTAAATGGAGAAACCAGGAGGGCTCCCACACCACCGCCAGATGCCAGTGCCCAGACGGCCTGGGAAGATGCGGACTAAAAGGTGAGCTAAGTGGTATGTGGTACTCCCACAGACAATCCTGGGCCAGATCAGCATAGACCCCTGGACAGAACCCCCACCAAGGGAAAAAAAGAGAAACTGAATAATAAGCAATAACAACAAAAAAGACACGTAGCAAAGAGGGCAGGGCACCTTGAGCGGCGAAGAGTGGGGGAGGGGAATCCCTCACAAGCCAGCTGGAGAAGGTAGGAGTGGCAGCACATGCCCAGCAATCAGCAGCAGGAAAGCTTGTAAAAGCAGCGGTGGGAAGAAAACTCCTCAGGAGAGGTGGGGAGACCCACTTCCCACGTGAACTGTAAATAAACATGCAGGCCTGAGAAAGCTGGTGCAGTGTCACTTCCCCCAGTGTGTTTGGAAAGGGAAAGCTTGTAGCAGTGGCATGGCACCCAGGAGAACTCTGAGTAAACAAAAATCTAGAGAAATATATTCCCATACACATGCAAGAGACCTCCAGAACACCAAACAGACCAGATCAAAATAGAACTACCACACGGCATATCATCATTAAAAACAACAAGTACAGAAACTGGGAAAAGAATATTGAAGGCTGTAAGAGAGAAAAAACAAGTAACATACAAAGGTAAACCCATCAAAATCACAGCAGACTTCTCAACAGAAACAATAAAAGTAAGAAGAGCTTGGGGTGAGATCTTCTGGGCACTGAATGAAACTAACTTCAACCCCAGGATACTCTACCCAGCAAAACTATCATTCAAAATAGATGGAGCAATAAAAGTCTTCCATGATAAGCAGAAACTAAAACAGTATGTGACCACAAAGCCACCACTACAAAAGATTCTTCAAGGGATTCTGCACACAGAAAGTGAAACCCAACATAACCATGAAAGGGCAGGCAGCACCAAACTACAGGAAAAGAAAAAGCAAGACAGTAGAGAGTAACCTCAACTTAGGTACACACAATCAAACCTTCAAACAACTAAGACAACTAAATGACAGGAATCACCACATACCTATCAGTACTAACACTTAATGTTAATGGACGTAATTCCCCCATCAAAAGGAACCATTTGATGAACTGGATTAAAAAGGAAGATCCAACAATTTGTTGATTACAGGAGACCCATCTCACCGACAGAAAAAAGCATAGGCTTATGATTAAAGGCTGGAAGAAGATTTACCAACACAATGGCCCTCGAAAACAGGCAGGAGTAGCAATACTTATCTCTGACAAAGCAGACTTTAAACCTACATTGATCAAATGAGATAAAGAAGGACATTCCATACTAATAAAAGGGGAAATAGACCAAAAGGAAATAATAATCATCAACCTGTATGCACCCAATGTCAATGCACCCAATTTCATCAAACATACGCTGAAGGACCTAAAAGCATATATTAACACCAACACAGTGGTTGTGGGAGACTTTAACACCCCATTATCATCAATAGATAGGTCATCCAAACAAAAAATCAATAAAGATATCCAAGATCTAAAATATACAATAGATCAAATGGACCTACTTGATGTCTACAGAACATTTCATTCAACTTCTACACAATATACATTCTTCTCAGCAGCCCATGGAACCTTCTCCAAAATAGATCATATCCTAGGGCAAAAAGCAAGCCTCAGCAAATATAAGAAAATAGAAATTATACCATGCATACTATCTGATCACAATGCAGTAAAAGTAGAACTCAACAACAAAAGTAAAAACAAAAAACATGCAAGCAGCTGGAAACTAAATAACTCACTACTTAATGAACAATGGATCATCGATGAAATAAAAGAGGAAATTAAAAAGTTCCTGGAAGTCAATGAAAATGAAAACACAACCTACTGGAACCTATGGGACACAGCAAAGGCAGTCCTGAGAGGAAAGTTTATAGCCATGAGTGCATATATTAAAAAGACTGAAAGATCCCAAATCAATGACCTAATGATACATCTTCAGGGGTTTATAGTTTTTCCTGTAGAGGTCATTCACATCCTTTGTTAAGTTGACTCCTAGGTATTTGCTTTCTTTTAAGGTTACTGTAAATGGAATTGTTTTCATATATTCTTTCTCAGTTGCTCATTATTAGTGTACAGAAATGCTAATGACTCTTTTATGTTGACTTTATATCCTGCTACCTTGCTATAGCTGTTGATGGTGTCTAGGAGCTTCTGAGTAGAGTTTTTTGGGTCTTTAAGTATAGGGTCATATCGTCTGAAAAAGGGATACTTTGACAGTTTCTTTACCTATTTGTATTCCTTTTACTCCTTCTTCTTGCCTAATTGCTCTGGCTAGGAATTCCAGTACTATGCTGAATAGGAGTGGAGATAGTGGGCATCCTTGTCTGGTTCCTGATTTTACAGGGAATGGTTTCAGTTTTTCTTCGTTAAGTATAATGCTGGCTGTAGGTTTGTCATATATAGCTTTTATAAAGTTGAGGTACTTTCCTTCTATTCCTAGTTTTCTTAGAGCTTTTATCATGAAAATGGTGTTGGATCTTATGAAAGGCTTTTTCTGCACCTATTGAGATGATCAAGTGGTTTTTGTCTTTGCTTCTGTTAATGTGGTTTATTACATTTATTGATTTTCATATGTTGAACCACCCCTGCATTTCTGGGATGCACCAAGTAGGTGGAAACCTACTTGGTTGTGGTGAATGATCTTTTTGATGTGTTGTTGAATTCGGTTTGCCATTATTTTATTGAGGAGTTTTGCATCAATGTTCATTAAGGAGATTGGCCTATAGTTCTCCTTTTTCGAGGTGTTTTTGTCTGGTTTTGGGATAAGTATAATACTGGCTTCATAAAATGTGTTAGGCAGTTTTCCTTCCCTTTCTATTTCAGTTTAAGGAGGATTGGTATTAGTTCTTCTTTAAAAGTCTTATAGAATTCAGCAGAGAATCCATCAGGTCCTAGACTTTTCTTTTTGGGGAGACTCTTGATTGCTGCTTTAATTTCATTTTGTGTTATAGATCTATTCAGGTGATTAATTTCCTCTTGGTTCAGTTTTGGATAATCATATGTATCTAGAAATCTGTCCATTTCTTTAAGATTTTCAAATTTATTTGAATATAGGTTCTCGAAGTAGTCTCTGATGATTTCCTGGACTTCCATGGTGTTTGTTGTTATCTCCCCTTTTGCATTCCTGATTCTACTAATTTGGGTTTTTTCTCTCCTCATTTTAGTCAGATTTGCCAGGGGTCTATCAATCTTGTTTATTTTTTCAAAGAACCAACTTTTTGTTTCATTAATTGTTTGTATGGTTTTTTTGGTTTCTATTTCATTGATTTCAGCTCTTACTTTTATTATTTCTCTCCTTCTATTTGTTTTGGGATTTGCTTGTTCTTGTTTTTCTAGGAGTTTGAGATGTATCATTAGGTCAAATACCTAGGTGTAAACCTAACAAAAGATGTGAATGACCTCTACAAGGAAAACTATACACTTCTGAAGAAAGAGATTGAGGAAGACTATAGAAAGTGGAGAGATCTCCCATGCTCATGGATTGGTAGAATCAACATAGTAAAAATGTCTATACTCCCAAAAGTAATCTACATGTTTAATGCAATCCCCATCAAAATTCCAATGACATTCATTAAAGAGATTGAAAAATCTACTGTGAAATTTATATGGAAACACAAAAGGCCACGAATAGCCAAGGCAATACTCAGTCAAAAGAACAATGCTGGAGGTATCACAATACCTGACTTCAAACTATATTACAAAGCAATAACGATAAAAACAGCACGGTACTGGCACAAAACCACACATGAAGTCCAGCGGAACAGAAGCCACACAACTATAATCAACCTGTCTTTGACAAAGGTGCTAAAAATATACGATGGAGAAAAGAGAGCCTCTTTAACAAAAACTACTGGGAAAACTGGTTAGCAATCTGCAAAAAACTGAAACTAGATCCATGTATATCACCCTATACCAATATTAACTCAAAATGGATCACGAATCTTAATATCAGACCCCAAACTCTAAAGTTTGTACAGGAAAGAGTAGGAAATACTCTGGAATTAATAGGTATAGGTAAGAACTTTCTCAATGGAATTCCAGCAGCACAGCAACTAAGAGATAGCACAGATAAATGGGACTTCATAAAACTAAAAAGCTTCTGCTCAACAAAAGAAATGGTCTCTAAACTGAAGAGAACACCACAGAGTGGGAGAAAATATTTGCCAGCTACACATCAGACAAAGGACTGATAACCAGAATATATAGGGAACTTAAAAAACTAAACTCTCCCAGAAATGACCCAAGCATTGTATGAACATATGAATAATAATAATAATAATAAACAAAAACAAAAAACCTAAATTCTCCCAAAATTAATGAACCAATAAAGAAATGGGCAAGTGAACTAAACAGAACTTTCTCAAAAGAAGAAATTCAAATGGCCAAAAAACACATGAAAAAATGCTCACCATCTCTAGCAATAAAGGAAATGCAAATTAAAACCACACTAAGATTCCATCTCACCCCTGTTAGAAAAGCCATCATTAGCAACACCACTAATAACAGGTGTTGGCAAGGATGTGGGGAAAAAGGAACCCTTTTACACTGCTGGTGGGAATGTAAACTAGTACAACCACTCTGGAAAAAAAATTGGAGGCTACTTAAAAAGCTAAACATTGATCTACCATATGATCCAGCAATACCACTCTTGGGGATATACCCAAAAGACTGTGACACA